CCCCGCCGTGTTGGGATTGCGGGTTCTTCTGACCCCCCGTTCGGGCTCGGGGTCATTGCGTGAGGCCCGTGAGGAGACCCGGGCGTTTGCGATGCCTTCTTTTTGAGACGGGTTAAACGTTGCCGCAGGGGGTGGAATGGAGGGGACGTGCCTTTTCGGGCGGGCGAGCCCTCCTTCGGGTCGGAAATGGAGGCGGCGGGTTTCAGGGCCGAACGCGTGACGAGCACAGTTGCTCGGAGGCTGATGAGGTGGGTATGGGAGAGGAAACGCTGAGGGACTAGTGGGGAACGCGTCTTGCGAAACAGTTGCCGAGTTCCTGATGCCTCAGCCTGACCTGAGAAGCTTTGCTCTGGATCTGCTTGAAGGATGAATTTTTGGGTTCGTAGGTTTCTGACTCTTCGGGGAGTGGAACCCCATGTTTCCGTATAGGAGGTGACCTTGTGGCGTGCTGTAACCTCTCCGGGGGCCACGGGGCAGAAAACGCTTGCGAGTGGCTGGTTTGTATTTTTTCCCCTCTGCCCCGCTCTTGGCTGCTGCTGCTTTCGAGACAGCAGTTGCTACAGGCTGGCCAGGCTTGGGCTTGAGCTGGGTCCCACGCTGCCTTCCGCTCCGTGGTTCCTCACCTGGAGAGTGTGTCGGGAAGCCAGTCTCCTCCCAGCTGTGCTACAGAGGGCAATTGAGATCGCTCCTACCCGCAAGACTTCCTTCTGGCAGCCCCAGGGTGTCACGAGTGCTGCCTTTCCATCGGTCTCCAGCCAGTGGCCCGGCACTTCCCTTTGGCAAACAGGATCTGCTCAGTGGGGCGTGTTGACGGGTGCTGGTGGTTGGACTTCCCAGCCGAGGGTACTGAGGAACAGAGAGAGGCCTTTGCTGCCAGGTGGTGTGGGTAGCTAGCTGAGTGGCAGCTGTCCCTCCTGCTCCATGCTTGCCCTTTGGTTTTGACTTTTACTTTCCTAAGCACTTGTGTTCCTCTCGACATGTAGGAATATGGAAATGATCAAGGACTATTACTGTGGTGTCAGTGTGGCTTTTTAAGAGAGGAAAAGGAGGTTATAGTGACTCACATCTTGTGGTAGCCACTCCCCATCTCTGAAAGCCGTTACAGTGCTCGTTGAAACTTGTTTATACTGGAAATAACGTTGCACAGAAGTCATGGATAAGTTCTTCCTGTGATTGGTGCTCCCTGACAGTGGCAACTGTTGTACGTAGTTTAAAATAAAATTTTTTTTCAAACTGTTTTTGTGGATCTCATGTTACCTGACAAGGGGTATTTGCGTTACAACTGCCTGTGGAGGAATTGAAAATACCAGATGTGAAGTTAGGAGCTCACTGAATGCAATTACAGTGGTGAGGGTCATTCTGGCTATTTAGTTGGAAAACCAGAAATAGTAACTGGTGAGACTATGACGAGGGAGCTAGCCTGGCAGCGCCTTGGTAACTGTGAGTCTTCAGCTGGGAAAGGGAGGTGGCTGGGGGGATGGGGTGGTTGTAAAGTGCCAGGCTAAGCTGCTGTCTTATGTGATCTGAGAACTAATATGTGATTAGCTTTGTTAATACTCTTCTACAGAAAGCACCATGCTCCTTTTTGTAAACTAGAGGGAGGTTGAGGCTGCCTGTCGGTGGAAGAGAACTAGAGCTGGCTGAGGTACAAGCATTCTGGGGTTTGCGGTGTGGAAGCAGGTCACTGGGACTTGGGACTGGGCAGGGATGCAGACCCTGTGCCGCACTCCCCTGCTGTGTGGATGTCAGATAGCCATCTGCAAAAAGCTGCTCTGGTGCCCCACCGCCCTGCAACCGGGTGACTCCTTTGGGAACGCGTCGTCCTTGGCCTGCCCTCCTTTCCTGCCTGCGTGCTCACGGGGCTGTGCTCACTTTGGATGTGTGCCGCTGCTTGGACCTGCACCTGAATGTGCTGGGGCAGCTGTGGCATAGAAGGAGATGGCCAGTCTGATGCTGGGCATGACTTGTCTGGGCACCCTGTGTGAGGGGTTTGCCAGGCTTGGGCTTGCGTTTGCTATTACACGTTTTGGATGAGCAAAAGCATTTGATTGTTTCAGGTCAATGCTGAGTTAAAAAAGAACTTTAAACTGGTTTTAAATATGTATGTTTAACTTGAAGAGCTTCCAGGCTTCAACCATGTTTGGTTTAGTTGCAAGAATCCATCAAAAATGTCAGTGGCAATTAATTGTTACAACTTAACTGGCCATGCGTTCACAGTTTAGACCTCTGTCGCATTTAGGGCACACTTTTTTTAAGTTTTAACTGTAGTTTGATGTGATACTGGAGCTGTCAGGCACTCTGCTAAAGGAGTAGAAAAGCTGGTGATGACCTTGGTGTAATGAAGAGATGTCTATTGTGTGACTGCAGTATCGCATTAGGTGTCGGGAGTGGTGGTGGTGTTTTCTCTTAAGAACTAACTTCTAATCTGCATGTAGAGCAGCCTGTGTAGTGTTACTTTTAGTGTGGAATTACTGCTGAGTTGTTATCCCTAATAAAGACCTCTAAATTACTCTTTGGATGAGAAAATTAATTCCCAGATGGAAAGCTTTTAATAGAGCTGCCTCATTAACCATGCTCGCAGTGCCTTGTACGCCTTCTGAAACTGCATCGGCTTTTGCTGTCTGCTGTTTCTGTCCCTCTTCCCCTGCATTAAAACGTTCCCGTGTGTTGGTGTGAAGTGTCTTATTGTGGTTTTGCAAAGTTCAGCTGACCTCAGTGAGAATGTGAGTGAAGGAGCTCTGGAAAATGAGATTTCCCAAAGCTTCAGGTGCCTGGCTCTAGCAGAGCTGCGTGTCAGCATGGTGCCTTAGAGGATCATGTGATGTGGGTTTCTTGGTTTTGCTTGCTTTGTATTTTCCTGGGGTGTTTGTTTTTTGTTGTTGTTTCATTACTTCCTGATAAGTTGTCACAGGGCTCTCCCTGCGTCACATGAGAGCAAGCCTGAAGCCTCGTGTGTTTTGAAACTCACAGCTGACTGAATCTGGCTGCTTTATGGTCTCTTGCTGCAATTAATGTGTTGCAAATGGACATGGGAAGCCCGTTCCCTTTAGTGTCTTCTTACTGGAACATCAGAACTGATGAAAGTCTTTTAGGTACTTTTGGGTAACAGAGGGAAAGCTTCTGCGGTTGTATGTAAAATACTGTCCCAGTTGGGAGGAGGGTGATTAGATTTTTTTTTTCCTCTTAACCCTCATCATTGCATCCTGGCCTCCTGAAGTCTGTCTTCTCGTGACAGGCTGTTCTCTGTATAGGCTTTCTCATCTCTGAGACCTAAACTTTGACGATGCTAAGTACATTAAATGAAGTCTATTAAGCAAAGCTATTACTGATAAATTCCATTAAGACTACCCACTTAATCTATTATCTGCAGTGTCAGGTGTCTGTACTGCTGAGACTTGCAGGTCACCGATCACTTACTTAATGCTTTATGTCTGTTTCTTTTTCTCTATTCAAGTTGTAGTCCTAAGTAAATATATCTGATGGCTAATCCTGTTGTTTGACTGCTTTTCCCTTTTTTTTGTCTTCCCTCTACCCAGTGAGACTGCATCAAGATGTCTCTCTATCCTTCCTTGGAAGATCTGAAGGTGGACAAAGTTATTCAGGTATGGTGGGCTTTAGTAAGATGAGTTTTGGTGATAATATACCTGATGATATTTAATCCAGGGCAGGGGAGGCTTTTATTGTAGGTGGGAGTTTGTTTTACAATCACCTTCTGAAAGGGGAAAGACAAACTGTTTACTTTGTAGCTTGATATAATATGATTAATGCTTGATGCTTATTTTACTGCTGTTGAGTATATTTATTTTGTTTTATGTATTCCTTTATAGTCGTTTGTCTTTAAGTTGGTATGTTTGGTTATTTTGAAGTATAGATACTTGGTCTTAAGTAGATAAACATAGTTAGTCTCTTCTCATCCTTCAGCTCTGACGAATAGGTATTGTCTGAACTAATAAACCTGCTGTGTCTCATTCCTGGTGTCCAGACCTGTGAGAGACAGCTTTCACGGTCAGTTGGGCACAAAAAGGAGCACTGGCTCTCTTAACATCATTTGTCATTACGGACTTGTTCTCCAGCTGTTTCACGGTAGTGACCAGTTCTCCAAATACTTCCAAGATCATCACATTTGTGTAAAACCCTTTATGTGCAAGAATACTGGTAGCCACCTTATTAGACAGTATGAGGATGCAAAAGTATCTGTGAAACAAAATACTGAAACACTTTAATGGATAAAAACTCCATGAGAAATTGGACACAAATGTGTTTTATGAGGAGTTTCCATGCTTTCTGCAGCATTTTACCTAGCTTCCGTTTTTCGTTCCTAAACTTAAACTGGATTCCCTCCCGGTTTAAACAACAGCAGTGAGTTATTACCCTGTTTTAATGTGGCTGTAGCTTCTATCCTTGTCCTCCTCATTGGGAAGCAACTGAGCAAACTGCACAGAACGTCGTATTAACTCTGCTGTGCTGTCCCAGAGTGGGAATGCCTTGGTCTTCCCTGTGTTTGTGTGGGGCTCTTGAAGTTGTGGGTCCTGTGTTGGGATTTTTCCTTGTGGTGTCTGACCACCCATTCTCCTTATCTTACCGAAGTCCCTTAACCACAGTCAGGTAATGATGAACTGGGAAAAAAATAATAGCCTGGAGCCACGAATGTGCTCCTTTGGCTTTTCAAAGACCAACTGCAAGAGTTTGTTACAACTGGAAATAAATACGGTCTTTCTGCTGCTCAGCTCCTGCTGCCACTGAATGAAGCAGCGAGGGAATGGAATTAGGGTGTCTCCGAGTCCTGTAACCCTTGAACCATAGACCCCTTCAGTAATTTTGTAGAGCAGGGCCTTTTCTTGTACGCTGCCTTGCCCATATGCTCAGTAGGGTTTATGGACTTGGACAGAATGCCTTGTTTATGTGATTTTGTAGCTTATTGTGGTGTTTCACAGACAAGTCAGAGTAAGCCCTGTAGAGGTTTCTACGGGGAGCATAGCAAACTGTTCTGTTAAGCTGGTTTTGTTGTTGGTGACTCTAGAATCTCAAAGGCCCGTCTTCTAGAAATCAGCTCATGCGGGACAGGCGCTTGCTGTCGTACTCAGAGGTGACTGACTACTCAGACATTAAATTAGATTTCTCAAAGTCTCTACCACTTGATGTGTGGGACGTCAGGCAAGGCAGCCTATGAGAAAATTCAGGTGGGGGTGGGAGAGAAGAGCATTTGGTTACAGATCCCCAGTGCAGAGCCTTTGTTACATGATGGTATCTTGCTCCTACTGCCCGTGGTGGGAGCTAGGAGGGTAACGGACTGTCTACTGAGTATAGCTGAGAGAGTGGGGAAGTACATGCTGTTGTTGCTAAACACCATTATTTCAAGATTAAGCCATTCCATTTTCACAGACGTTTTTGGTAGCAAAGGCTAAATTATTTGACTCTCCCAAAAAGTGTATTATAAAAATAGTGTCATCTTAAACATACCTCTTTAAATATATCTCCTGGGAGAAAGGGGACAGAGCACTGAAAGGCTAATTCTGTAACCATAGCAAGTGAGTGCCATTAAAATGCCTGCTGGTTAAAATGAAAGGACTTGTTACATTAAATTGCCTAACCCTTGTTTTTGTCCAGAACTCGAGTTGGAGGCCATTCTTCTAAATACATCGGATACTGATAAATGAGTCATTCTTGCTCTGAAACTTTTTTCTAAAAACAACTTCCTGGAGAGTACAGGACTATGAGATCTTCTATTTTTAAGCATAATTTCCTTAAAAACATGAACTAATTTGACAGCCATGTTGCGTTAGATGATTTACATGTCCTGTCTAGCATGCTTCACTATGCATGTAGTAATTTCCTCTCCCCTTTGACGTTCAGCCTCAGAAAAGCTATTGGAATACCTATTTCTACCACACTTAACAGACCTCTGTAAGGCAGTGTTTTTCACTGGTTATGATTACACAAGGCCAAAAAAGTAGTAGCTGAGGTATTGACAAGGAAGGAAACTGGCTTACTTCAATACGTTCACTTGTATTTCTGAGTCAGTAAGCAATATAGAAACTTAGCTGAGCATGTGTGCTATAGTGGCAACTTCTGTAGAAAAATCCATCTTGGAAGGACCATTTTTTTCAAAAGGTATTAAACCAGTAGCACTGGATTGTAAGGGACTATGGTAGAGCTCATGAATAACATCTGTAGGTGGTAAAGAGTTAAAACTGCTGCAGTCCAGCTGCCAAAAAAGTCATTACAAAACGCTCTGCCAAAGGTCATACCTTAAAACTTGGCTATAAAGCTCTGTCAGCCAATTTTAATGTGTCTTTTAGGGCTCTTTAACTTGCTTGATGACAAAACCAGAGCTGGTTGACAGTGAAGCCTTTCTGCATTTTTACTGTAGCATTTTCTCTGAGGGAGATACAAGTTGAACCACTGAAGTAGTTTGATACTACTACAGCATGTTATATTGGTATATTTATTTCAAAGAAAAAGATTAACATCAGAGCTTCAAGATTAATATTAACTAGCATATATTAAGCAACCTGGTCTAGTGGAGTGTGACCCTGCCTATGGCGCAGGGGGTTGGAACTAGATGATCTTTAAGGTCCCTTCCAACCCAAACCATTCTGTGATTCTCTATACAAGGAAAAAAAAGAAAATATTTAGTCTCCTGTCAGTGTAATAAAGTCTTTGTAGATTTTTCTTGTCTTGCACAAGATAATGTGAGTTTCTTTCCTTTTAGGCTCAGACTGCCTTTTCTTCAAACCCAGCTAATCCAGCAATCTTGTCTGAAGCTTCTGCTCCTATACCTCTTGATGGAGGTAAGCTCACCTACTGCCTAGTATGCTAATGTTGTGGGAAGCAGTTATGAAATCCTCAAGTTAACAGCAATCAAAAATACCTATAAATATGTAACCCTATTTATGAAGGGTGAGACTATGCCTTTTTGGGAATGCCACCACCCACTATGGTAAGGTACTATAGGAGTCAAAAACCAGTGTTTGCTTATGAAGGAAGTTGTGGCAAATACTAACCCTTCTTTTAACTTTTAGAAGTCTTTTCCAAGTGAGCCTAATATAACACTTGCTGTTGGTACCACTTGAGCTCTTTTTAACTCTTACCTCAAACACTTATTTGTACTGATTTGTCATAGGTATGTTTGTAAGCTTTAGAGAGCAGTGTGTCTTTCCATATGAGCTTTCTTAGGAACAAACACAGATCTCTGTCAGCAGAGAAGTGCCCAGGAAGGTGGGACCTAATCTTTTCATACTATCAACATAAAGCTTCCAGCAGATTTTGGGTTCAAATGTCTGGTGGGAAATCTACCAGACCTAAAGCTGAACGACTTGTACCCATTTCTTCTCTTTTTTTCCTCCAATGCATGTGTGCATCCATGAAGATGCACAGGTATGTTTGAGGCCAGAGCTCTGGGTTAGTGAGTTGCTCTACAAGGCCTAAAGCCTCTAACCAGCAGTGGTGCTGAAACGGCTCTCAAGAATGCTGGTGGACCAGATATTAACTTTACCTGCAGTTCCCCTCTTGGCACCGGTGTGTGAAAGATGACTTTACAGCAGGAGTTCTGTACAGCTCACCAGAGAGCTGCCTCTTATAGATCCTTTGTGGGACAGATGCTTGCCTGGCCTAACCTCACTAGACCAGATCTGAGTTTGCTTCAGCAGTCCCTTCTTGGCAGCATTCTTTCTGCTGTTCAGAGTTTGAATTCTCCTGCGGTTCTTGTGCCTGTTGACCAAATCATGTAATTTTGACATCAGCCTGTGTGTGAGTTGCTTGGGAGCTGTGTGTGCCTGAAGAGTGATTAATCACTTCGTCTATCCCAAACAAAGGGAGGCCTACACCACCTATAGGATGTGCCAAACCCGCTGGGAATCCCTCTGTCCTGGCAGAGGCAGGAGAATAAACCACATCAAGAGCTTTTGGATGTGTTCTGCTATTTGGGAGGTGTCTGTTTTGAATGAGAATGTAATACAGCCAGCAAAGATGCATCCTGTGCTGTGGTCTTTGAAGAACAAAAGAGAAGAAATCAAGTAGCTGCAGAAGTCTTGTGTGTTGTTAATTGTGTATAGTCCTAGGGGTGTGAAAATGCAAGCAAAATTAGCAGAAACATTGATTAATAAGCTTTTAATATTGGTGAAACTACAAGCTGACAGATCAATCCAGAAATAAGATCGGACAGCTCTCATGTGAAACAGCGTGCAAACGTGACCACTGAAGGTATTAAGGAGGAAAAACGCCTGTTGTTTATACTGGAATTCAACTTGCAATGACCTTTGTTCCTTCCCGGAAAAGTTACTTTCCATTTCTGGTCAAATGTGGAGACTTAAACTAGCTGGCTTTATATGTGTATCCAGAAATGAACACTAGAAACCTAAGCTTTGGGAACTGGGGAGCCTGCCTGCTTCCAGGGCTGTCCCTTGTGCCACCTCACTTTCCCAGCAGCCTTCTTCATCCCCACCGGTTTGACCAGTGGACTCTTAAGAGTTCTCCTAACTGCCACTTGTTAAATGGCACCAGTTAGTTATCTGCGGAATGTCAAGAGCAATATCGAGCTTATTTCCAGAGTGGTTTGACTCAAGGTCTGACAAGTCTGTCAGCTTAACTTCCTTTCCTCCCACTCCTCTCGGGGGCAGAGAAATCTCCTGCTGGACACTTTAAGGGCTGTGTTTGTTTCTGTCTTGTTGAGAAGCATGTCCAAAACAAATCCATTGTGAAGCTATGAGGAAATGACAGCTCTTGTCCATGAAGACTACTAAAGCAGGCTGAACTGTGGACCTTACAGCCAGGAGGCTGTCTTCTGCAGAAACTTCTCTGTGCCTGGGATCCGGAATGTCCGTGGCATGGATGCCTCTTCCGAGTGCTGTCTTGCGCTTGGTGGAAGGTCACTATGCGTGTTCTCCAGCACAGCTGGTTTTGAGGGGTGGGAGGGAGAATGGTTCCCCCCTAACTAGCCAAAACCTTGGGAGTGAGGGCATGCCGTCACAGACTGCAGCACAGCGTTGGTTTTGGAATGTACCACCGTTTGTCTAATGTTTGTGCCATAAAGGATGAAGGGAGTAGCTGAAACTAGAAGTTCTCTGTAAGCTCTTTATCTCTAAGTGCTGCTTGTCTGGATGCCTTTTTTTTTTTTTAAGATGGGATAGCATATCAGTCCTGATTTGGGTGGGTTTTCTGTCGTAATTTTCAATGGAAACACATTATAATAGCACAAGATGTGGTGAAGTAATTGTACCTGTGAAAGCAGTAACTGTTTGTTAAACCAGCAGTTGTATTGATGGCTTTTCTGGTTTGTTTTTCTCCTATAGGCTTATACCCCAGACTGTATCCAGAACTTTCTCAGTATATGGGCCTGAGCCTCAGTGAGGAAGAGGTGCAGAGAACCCTGCCAGTGGCAGTGGCTGCTCAGCCGCAGGGTGTAGGTACCAGTCGAGCGTGTTCTAGAAAACAAAATTAGAAAGGTTAAATGTATATCCAGCATGCTCTGGAGTAGACTACTGTTTGTCTGATGCACCATACTTGACTGATAGGGGAATTATTTTAAGTAACAGTACCTATTTTTCTCTGGTCTTAAACCGAGCTGCACACTTCAGTGTGGGAGGTGGGGAAGAGCTGGTGCTGTGACGTAATGTGTGTTGTGTCTTTTGTTTAAATTATCACTTTGTGTAAACTGATGCACAGCTATTTTAAAATGTTGAAACTAAGGCGTCTGGCTATTTTGTTTTAATCAGCAACTGGTAACACGGCCCTCTACTAATTACATGGTAGCTCCAGTGACTGGAAATGATATTGGAATTCGCAGAGCAGAAATTAAGCAAGGCATCCGCGAGGCAATTTTATGTAAAGATCAGGATGGCAAAATTGGGCTTCGCCTGAAGTCTGTTGACAATGTAAGTACAGAAGCTTGCTTTTGCCCGTAGAGATCTTGCTACTGGATTACATTTGTAGTGAACTTAGTGTACGCTCACAAAATTGTCTTGGGCATAATGATTGCTTACCCATTAATGGAATTTGAAAATCCCTCATTAGGTGAGTAACTAGAGGGTTCAGCTCTTTGGACTGAGATCTGAATTCACAGCAGCAGTTTACTTCTCTGTGTTTTATAACACCTGAAAAATGCTTGTAAATTTTTTCACTTGAGAGCATGAGATCATCCTTGCAGAGCTGCTGTGATACCTGTTAGCAGTTCAGGATTTTTATCTCTCTCTGTGGAAACGCTGGGCAATACCTGAAGTCCAGCAGTGGGCAGAGAACTGCCCATGGCTTAGAAACAGCTCTTCTTTTACGGGTTCTTGCAATGTGGTGCTGGAGAGAAAAGTAAGGATGGTGAGGGTGTCATCTTACCTACCAGTAAAGAGTGATCTTGGGCTTTTTCGAGTTTCCTTTAACATGAACATAGTTGCACCAAAAAAAAAAATCCTTAAACTTCTCTCTTTTGGTATCTTTTGATTCTTAGCATGGAAAATGCTACATATTTTTGCTACTGAAGGCTTCATAGAGGGTTAAAGTGCTTTTTGTAGTTCTTGTAATCCAAAAAATGCTGGGGTTTGCTCTGAGTAGCATGTTTGTTTGATATCCTCTCCACCTGCTTTCTACCTTGTTTCCCCCACCCTGAGAGGGTATCATCTACAGTTTGCCTTGATATACTTTACTTGGTTTTTAGGGGTACTTTGACTAGAATTACTTTTTAATACCTTGGTTGTTACTACCTGAGGTGCTGACGAGTCCTAATCAATACAGGGTTGAAAACTACTGGGACTGCAAAAGAAAGAAACATCTGCCCCGGCGTTCCTAGCATTCTGAGCTATTTCTGTATACAGACTGATGCCTTGCAGAAGAGTTCGTAGTTGCACGGGGAGATAACGCAAATTTACTGCTAGTCTGTCTTGATCCAGTTGTTGAGATCTCTTGTTAAAGCAGAACAGTATTTACCCATTCAAGTTAGGATTCAATGCTATGCTTGCCTTGTTCTTTCTAGATTTGCAGAATTTAAAACAACATTCTTATTTCCTGATGTTATTCTAGCAGTAATTATCTGTCAGTCCATTAAAAGGCACGTAGACTGAAACTTCAAAAATGTGTCTTAATGAGAGAGAACTGCTGAGTCCTTTGGTCCATTTCTCTGGCATTACATAGGGATTGGGAGACTTTGAAGTGCTGTGTGTTCTGTCACTGGCTTTCATCTTTAAGGAAGAATCCTCTCTGGTTTGGTATTTAGGGGTTTTTTTCCTTTTTTCTCTTCTGTAGGGTATATTTGTCCAGTTAGTTCAGGCAAACTCTCCGGCATCCCTCGCTGGTCTGCGGTTTGGGGACCAAGTGCTGCAGATCAACGGTGAAAACTGTGCAGGATGGAGTTCGGATAAAGCACATAAAGTTCTGAAACAGGCTTCTGGAGAGAGGATTTCCATGGTCATTCGGGACAGGTAAAATGAACGGCACATGCCGGTGGTTGTTATCCATCTCTCAGTACTGGAGGGGTTGGGGTTTCCCCTTGCTCGAGCAGCACTGCAGGCATAACAGAATCTGGTGGTTCGTCCGCTTCAATAGTGAGGTATTGAACCCTCAGAGATGTTCCTTGTGGGAACAGTCAGAATAGGTGGGAACCTGGAAACTTCCCATCGACACATGCCTGGCCATGATGAGTGATAGCACAAGTCAGATTTCAACTCCACATTCAAGAGGTCTGTGCTGCTTCAGATGCAACTTGACTTTTGCTTATAATAATTGGAAAAGCAATAAAAGATGGTATCGTGATATTCATTGCTAATGAATACACGTGTGTGTTTATTTAGCGTGATAGTATTCTTGTGAACTCTGCTTACATATGAATTGACAAGTATGCTTGATGAGCCAATACAGATTGTTAATTGTATTAATGAGTTTCTAGCTAGCTGGATGTACTAATAATAGGTCAGATTCAACGCAAGGTCTGTAGGCTGTAAGAGGATGGATGATGCGTGATGTGACTAGGTGTACATCTTGAAGCTTTTTCAGTCTTCATTCTTCTTTTAAGAATCAACCAGGGGAGGGCATGGAGTAACAGATTCCATACTTATGTCATGTATGAAATCAAAATACTGGGATAGTGGATTCCCTGTCTACCACTCCTGTGCCCAACTCCCCAGCCCCTTGCTGGATTCAGTAACATGTAATACACAACGTAAAGGTTTATTGGCTGTAAGGCAGTGAAATTGTTCTTGGGGAAGCCTTGTACTCTGGAATCCTGTGGTCCTACCTGCAGCTGTTACAACTGCCTGCACTATTTTAGCTCCTTTTTCACATTTGTAGATAAAACTTGATTTTTTTTAACAGCTGTTTGTGTGTGTGTGTATGCTGTGTGAGGGTTTTTTATTAAGGTGGTGGAATACCTGTAGAACAGGGGAAAACATGTAAGGTTTAGGAAATAAATCTACAAATGCACTGTGACTTCACCTTGGAAAGAGGAGATTAAAGTAGCACGTAGTAACAAAATGAAGTTAAACCAAACTACTTCTCACTGTAGTTGATGTATGAGTCTCTACTTTCAACTTTGTTGATCTACAAAAAAAGGAACTGTACTAGGTTGAAGTGCTTTCTCTGGTGTAGTAGACTGAAAACTTGTTTTCACACTTTATATCTTTCCTCCTTCCTAGGCCTTTTGAGCGGATTATTACTATGCATAAGGACAGCACAGGGCATGTTGGTTTCATATTCAAGAATGGCAAAATAACCTCAATAGTGAAAGACAGCTCTGCTGCAAGAAACGGACTTCTTACAGAGCACAACATCTGTGAAATTAACGGCCAGAATGTAATCGGACTGAAGGTAAAACGAGTAGAGTGCATGGGTGTGGGGAGCTGTGAGCTCTCTGTGTGTAGAAGCTGTGTTTTGGATGGGAAAAGGATTCTGACACGTTGAATGTTCATAAAATAAAGTCAGTCATGAGAGGTAACTGGCTTGGAGAGACACGCTTTGAGGTTTCTTGGCAGTTTTCTATCTGTAGGTAGGGCAACTCCTTCTCTTCCTCTCTGCATCTACCTGGCTAGTCTGAGCCTCAGTTTTTATCTTGAGTCTAACTTTGCTGGTGAAACCTGAAGAATAAGCTTCCCCCTGCCAGCCTGTGTCAAATTCCAGTAGGAATTTAGTGTGTAACATCTAACATCTGTGCTTCTCAGGCTGGCTTGTGCAAGAGACTTGTAACCCAACCTCTGTGAAATGGTGTTGGAGGTGTGGCGGTTTAACTGCCCCAGGTGAGGGATTGTGAGGGTCTCGAGCTGCATGAAACCTGTCTAGAAAACGCTTTGTTAGTTGGCTTGAGTGATGTTGCTCATGTGACTTCTTGTTTGATAACAGGACCCCCAGATCGCAGACATCTTGGCAACAGCTGGAAACGTAGTGACCATTACCGTCATGCCCTCCAGCATTTATGAGTACATCATAAAGAGGTAGGTAGTAAACAGAGCAACTGTGGTGTTAATTGTCATCGGGTTGACAGGGGCTCTGTTTTTGTAGGTGAATAAAACGTACTTGTGATAAGACCTAATTACAACCCTAACCTGGAGGCTGGAGAAGGGGTGGGGGGAGTCTGAAAACTTGTTTAATCTGATGTTTTGGTCAAACCTGGTGTGTTTTGGTTCTGTTTTTAAACTGATCATATGTTAGTGATGCTCTTTGCCTTTTCTCTTGGAAAAAAAAACCCTTTTCTAAACATAATTTGACTAAGCCTGAGTCTCTGAGAACTTCGAAGTACAGGGATAACCTAAGGATTTGTTGCCTTGTAACTAAAATGTTGTTTCTAGAGAAACCAGTTCTGGTGACGTAAACATGATTCTTGGCAGGATACAGGTGTCTTCCTAATCCTTTGGCAGCACCGGCTTTCTACAGCTAGATCTTTCCTGCAAAAATAGGGTTTTGAATTTGCTAGGAATTAATTAATGCTTCAGGT